TCTCTGAACGCATAATTATCTGGCCACTCAGTGTCTATCCTATATAATAAAAGGCTAACATGCAAATTGTCCCCTCGACCGAGGAGTTTGACCAGCAGGCAGGCCGGCCAATATATATATATATATACACACACACACACACACACACTCACACTCACACACACACTCAGGCCTGGTGCAGGGGGAGGGGACATGGGCGGTTGGCCGGCCTGCCTGCTGGTCGAAGGGGACAATTTGCATATTAGCCTTTTAGTATATAGGATAGACACTGAGTGGCCAGATTATTATGCGTTCAGAGATCATCATAATATGGCCACTCAGTAAATATATATATATATATATATATATATATATATATATATATATATATATATATATATATTACACACACACACACACACACACACGCACGCACGCACGCACGCACAGGCTTTCATGCATCCACTGGAGGTCTTGGAACATATCCCCCAGGATAAGAGGAACTACTGTACCTAGGGATACAGGGTTGGTAACTAGGTAACCAAAAGGCAAAAAAATAACCTTGTGGTATTATGGTGCCGTTCACTACAGCAAGCAGCTACCGCCGTGGGCAAGCAAAACGAGGAAAGAAACATTGAAGAAGGCAGGTTGGCAGCATTGAGACTGAACGCTGGGATGGGGTTCCCGCTGGAGACGGAACTCGGACCGCCAGGGGGCGCTGCCGGGCCAGGGCAGGCGCGTCCGCGCTGGGAGGACCGCCGGGCGCCGGGCCTTCCCGGGCAGCCGCGGGGGAGACGGCGCTGACGCTGCTGAGGGTGCGCAACGCTCGGAAAAGTCGCGAACTAGACTCAGCAGCAGCCAGAAGGAAGCGCCTCAGCCAGGGTGAAAGGCGGCTGGTGACGCTGGCGGGAACCAGGAACGGACTGGAAACGAGCGGAGAGCCAACCGGAAGGAGCGCGTCCCCTCTAGTCCTCCAGGCGTCCGGGCTCGTTGGTGCCCCCTAGCGGCAGAGTGCGGCGCCGCCGGCGGGCAAAGCGGCTTTCAGAGTCCAGGCCTCAGATTCACAAAGCCATCGGAGGGGAATGGGTTGGAAACCAAGAGATAATAAATAACTGGCACACTTAAGAACAGGAACCAAGAGATAATAGCTTAATAACTGGCACACTTTTTTTTTTTAAAGCTGAACTTTTAAAAAAATATATATTTTATTAATTTAAAAAAAATATTTTATTGATTTTTTACAGAGAGGAAGGGAGAGAGATACAGAGTTAGAAACATCGATGAGAGAGAGTCATCGATCAGCTGCCTCTTGCACACCCCCTACTGGGGATATGCCCGCAACCAAGGTACATGCCCTTGACCAGAATCGAACCCGGGTCCCTTCAGTCCCCAAGCCGACGCTCTATCCATTGAGCCAAACCGGTCCCGGCAATAACTGGCACACTTAACAGCAGAGCGTGCCAGGGGCCAGGGACGACGAGCCATCCAATTCCATACCTCTAAGGCCCAAATATATGTTTAAGGGAACCTGACTACATGAAAGACTATTGTCCGGGTTAGCTAGTCTGAATTAACTCCACCCAAATGACATCTCCCATTAGATTATTTTTAGAATATTTAAACCCAATTATTCTAAAAGGTCTTCTGAAGAAATAAGTAAACGAAAGAAGCAATTGTTTTTTTTTTCTATAGAGAATAAGATAGGTCTAAGCCTAAATGTTTTTTGTTGTTTTTAAAAAATATATATTTTATTGATTTTTTTTTACAGAGAGAGGAAGGGAGAGTGATAGAGAGTTAGAAACATCAATGAGAGAGAAACATCAATCAGCTGCCTCCTGCACACCCCCTACTGGGGATGTGCCCACAACCAAGGTACATGCCCTTGACCAAAGTCAAACCTGAGACCCTTGAATCCACAGGCTGACGCTCTATCCACTGAGCCAAACCAGTCAGAGGTAAGCCTATATGTTTTAAAATATAAGGTGACACACCCAGCTGGTGTGGCTCAGTGACTGATCTTCAATCTATGAACCAGGAGGTCACTGCACACATGCCCGGGTTTTAGGCTCAAACCTCTGTGGGGGGTGTGCAGGAGGCAACCGATGAATGATTCTCTCATTAATGTTTCTATCTCTCTTTCCCTCTCTCTTCTTCTCTGAAACCAATAAAAATACTAGTATACTAAAAATAAATAAAATAAGCCGGGAACAGTTTGGCTCAGTGGATAGAGCGTCGGCCTGTGGACTGAAGGGTACCGGGTTCGATTCCGGTCAAGGGCATGTACCTTGGTTGTGGGCACATCCCCAGTGGGGGGTGTGCAAGAGGCAGCTGGTCGATGTTTCTCTCTCATCGACGTTTCTAACTCTCTGTCCCTCTCAATTCCTCTCTGTGTAAAATCAATAAAATATATTTTAAATAAATAAATAAATAAATAAATAAATAAAATGTAAGGTAACACTAATCAGTTTGATCCTGAAAGATGAAAAAGATGATAAACATTAAAACTTCATATATATTTGACCAATATGTCATCATAAAGCAACCAAGATAGCGAAATTGTTCAAAATATTATTTTGAGAATTAAAAGCGTACAAATCAGTGGCATGAATTACACTGACAATGTGGTGTAACCGTCACTACTCTCTACTTTCAGAACTTTTCACTATCCCAAAGTCAATCCTGTACCCATTAAATAAAATCTCACTCCCCATTTCTCCCTCCTCCCAGCTCCTGGCAACCACCAGGAATATCTTTTCATGCGCTGAGTAGTCATTTGCATATTTTCTCTGGAGAAATGTTTATTCAAGTTCCTGGCCCATTTCTGAATGGGGATGTTTTGCTGTTGTTGTTGCTGCTGTGTTGTAGTTCTGGATATTAACTCCTAGTCAGATAAATGCTTTGCAAATATTTCCCCCCATTACGTGGTTGTCTTTTTACTCTGTTATCTCCTTCGTTGCACAGGTTTGAATTTTGAGGTAGCCCAATTTATCTATTTTTCTGTTGTTGCCTGTGCTTCTGCTGTCATGTCCAACCAATCATTGCCAAATCCAGTGGCATGTAGCTGTTCTCCTGTTTTAAGAGTTTGGTTTTAGCCCAGCTGGTATAGTTCAATGGATAGAACGTCAGCCTGTGAACTGAAGGGTCCCAGGTTCAATTCCAGTCAAGGGCACATGCCTGGGTTGTGGGCTTGATCCCCAGTGTGGGGCATGCAGGAGGCAGCCAATCAATGATTCTCATCATTGATGTTTCTCTCTCTCTCTCCCTTCCCTTTGAAATCAATAAATATTTTAAATATTTTAAATATTTTAAATCAATAAATATTTTTAAATATTTTAAAAAAAAAAGTTTCAAGTTTTAGCTTTTACATGTAGGTCTTTGATCCATTTTGAGTTGAGTTTCCTCTATGGAGTGAGGTAAGAGTCCAACTTGGTTGTTTGGCATGTGGGAACCCAGTTTCCATTTATCGAAAAGGCTGCCCTTTCCCCATTGAGTGATCTTGACTGTTTGTCAGAGTTCATTGGACCACATACATGAGGGGTTAGTCCTGGGCTCTCTACTCTATTCCATCCGCCCCTATGCTTGTCTTTCTGCCAGCGCCACACCATCCACACTATTGTGCTGACAGTAACTTTATAACAAGTTTTTATTTTGTTTTTTAATATATTTTATTGATTTTTTACAGAGAGGAAGGGAGAGAGATAGAGAGCGAGAAACATCGACCAGCTGCCTCTTGCACACCCCCTACCGGGGATGTGCCCGCAACCAACATACATGCCCTTGACCGGAATCGAACCTGGGACCTTTCAGTCCGCAGACCGACGCTCTATTCACTGAGCCAAACCGGCTTCGGGTATAACAAGTTTTGAAATCGGGAAGTGTGAGACCTCCAACGTTGTGCTTCCTTTCCTAGATTGCTCTGGAATTTTTCTATTTCTGCGAAAAATGCTATCGGGACTCCGATGGGGACTGGGTGGAGTCTGTAGAATGCTTTGGGTAGCATTGACACCTTAGCAATTTTACGTTTTCCAACCCAGGTTCACGGGGTATTAACCATTTTTTTTTAAGTATATTTTATTGATTTTTTTTTTTTTTTTTTTTTTTACAGAGAGGAAGGGAGAAGGATAGAGAGCAAGAAACATCGATGAGAGAGAAACATCCATCAGCTGCCTCCTGCACACCCCTCACTGGGGATGTGCCCGCAACCAAGGTACATGCCCTTGACCAGAATCAAACTCGGGACCCTTCAGTCCGCAGGTCGACGCTCTATCCACTGAGCCAAACCGGTTTCGGCTGTATTAACCATTTTTAATTACATTAGTGGCTCACA